TGGCTCACTGCAACCTCTGCCTCCCAGGTTCAAATGATTCTCCTGCCTTAGCCTCCTGAGTAGTTGGGATTACAGGCGCCTGCCACCATGCCCAGCTAATTTTTTGTATTTTTAGTAGAGACAGGGTTTCATCATGTTGGCTGGGATGGTCTCGATCTCTTGACCTCGTGATCTGCCCACCTCAGCCTCCCAAAGTGCTGGGATTACAGGCGTGAGCCACCGCACCGCACCCATCCCAGCTGATACTTTTTAATTTTAACAGAAGATCTGAACTCATATGCTTCTGGTAAAAATGAGTCAAGATGTATAAAGACAAAAGTTGACTAAACTATAAGAAGAAATTTATAAATTAACCATGATAGGAAGAGACTTAAATATATATCTGTTAGTAATTGGTAAGTCAGTTGGACAAAAATTAGTAAGGAAATAGGGTATTTTAAAAACAAAATGAACAGCTTGATTTGTTATAACAAAACTAAAGAATACATAATTTTCTCAAGCATACATGGCATGGTTTTAAAAACTGGTTACCCAATATTCCATAAAGCAAAAGTCAAAAAGTTTTATACGAGTTGTTATCATAGGGACAGTTTCTATAATTACAGTGCAATTAGAGTACAAATTAGTAATAAAGAGATAAAAATATATGTGATTCAATTCTAAAACACAAAAGATTGAAAACAAGAAAATACAAATTGCACTATTCATAAACAGAAAACAATATGGTTGTCTACGAAGAAAGCCCAAGAGAATATACAGAAATTGTTGAAATTGATAGGAATTTCGGCCGGGCGCGGTGGCTCAAGCCTGTAATCCCAGCACTTTGGGAGGCCGAGACGGGCGGATCATGAGGTCAGGAGATCGAGACCATCCTGGCTAATACGGTGAAACCCCGTCTCTACTAAAAAATACAAAAAACTAGCCGGGCGAAGTGACGGGTGCCTGTAGTCCCAGCTACTTGGGAGGCTGAGGCAGGAGAATGGCGTGAACCCGAGAGGAGGAGCTTGCAGTGAGCTGAGATCCGGCCACTGCACTCCAGCCTGGGTGACAGAGCAAGACTCCGTCTCAAAAAAAAAAAAAAAAAAAAAAAAGAAAATGCTATAAAAACCACTTGCAAAAGCAATAAAGGGTATAATGGCTTGGAATCAAGATAACAAAAACATGCATGACTTCTGTGGAAAAGACATCATAAAACTTTATTAGAATTTAAGACCTAAATGCATGGAGATAGGACACACCACTGCCATGCATAGGCAAACTAAGTATCTCTCCAAAAAATGCTTTCTTTGATTTAATCTAATTCCAAGAATATGCTGAATATTTGTTTGTTTATGTATTTATTTTTGACAAACTGGTTCTAAAATTTGTATGGAGAGACAATGGGGCACATATAGCTAAGAGAATTCTGAAAATGGAAACAGTGTGGGGAGACCAGCCCTACAGATGTGGAGACGTATCATGCTGCATCCTCGTTGCTGCTGTTTGGGGTTGCCAAAGGGTCGAGCACATGGAACAAAGATGCTCAGAGCCTAGGACCTGCCAAAGTACATAATTCTGGATGATGAGGATGATGTTGTTTCTAGTCCCTTTTACCCAATTATTAAACGTGCTTGACCCAGTATTTTCCCCCCAGTTTTCCCAACAACCCAAAGTAGTCAAAGCTCTGTTTTACCTAAAAAAAAAAAAAAAATCCACTGGAACACAACAGTAAAAATAATTTCTAGAGCATTAGGAACTATAAAAGATGGATTTGAAAACTTTCTTAATGTTTAAAACTGCTGGGAAAAATTACCATGCCTGTATATACTATGTTTGCAAATTTTGGAAAATAGAGAAGCAAGAAAAAACTGAGATATAACTCTAAAGTAGGCAGTTTTGAACAAGTCTGGTGACCGCACAATTAGTAATATCCTGCATAAAGCGTGGGCAAAGTTGGGCATGACCTGTACTAATGATAAAAGTTTAAATAAGAATTGTTAGAAATTCCTATACATTCAGCAAGGTACATTGCAAATAATAAAATGAAAAAGACTATTACACTATCTGCCTTAATATAAACAACATGCATCATGATTTTATTTATGTATTTTTAGGACTCTGCATTCATTGTCAATGTTAAAAACAGAATTAACATTTAGTTGACCAGGTGTGGTGGCTCACGCCTGTAATCCCAGCACTTTGGGAGGCTGAGGTGGGCAGATCACAAGGTCAGGAGATCGAGACCATGCTAGCCAACATGGTGAAACCCCATCTCTACTAAAAATAACAAAAATTAGCTGGGCATGGTGGCGTGTGCCTATAATCCCGGCTACTCGGGAGGCTGAGGCAGGAGAATCCCTTGAACCAGGGAGTCGGAGGCAGAGCGACACTCTGTCTCAGAAAACAAAAAAACAAAAAAATAAAACACAAAAAAACAGAATTAACATTTAGTTTTTCCTACATTTAAAAAATGTCATTTTAAATTGGTTCCTTAAGATTCAAAGATCCATAAGAAATAACTAATACACTTATATTTTTACTATAGGATATTTTTTCAAAACAGCAATCACAGGAATTAAAACATTTATATGTGATGTTACAAATAGGTTGATATTTAACACCAGAAATTAATTTGGTGTATTATCCTCACATTTATAATAAAACAAACGTCTAGGTTCACTCCCCTTATAATCTGGTGGTTCCTTCTACCTTGTTGGCCACTGGTTCCACAACACAGCTAGATAGTACTATGTTTGCAATAATCTATGGGCTTTCCTTAGGGGGAGAGAATCACAGGGGCTTACCTAAATAAAGCCATGCCATTTTATTTTGTCTGATTTTGGTAGCAACCTGATTCAATAAAACAATTTCTTTTAGGATATTCATTTTATAGTTATTCCTGTCTTGCCAAATATACTGGTGATTTTATTAAAAATTTTAGGATAAAAACTTAACAATGCTAACTTTTCTATCTTAAATGAGTGTTCTGACACCTAAATAGAACAAGAATGGCTACTAAGTCATTCATATTTTTTGGTGCAAAGCTATTAGTTTGGGTCATATTAAATTGCTGACTTTTTGACCTGCAAAAGTGGTGGTTTCAGATGCTTCAGCCTGTATATCCTGGAGCGAGTGGTGGCTTTGTGATTGTTAGGAATTAAAACTTACTAAGCTCTCCACAGATAAAGGGTATCAGAAAGATAAACTAGCTGAGCAACTATTTGTCCGTAAATCAGAAATACACATGTAATTGAAGTATTACAACACAATATATGAACAGCTTAAGAGCTGTAGAAAAATCGCCTTACTGTGTCCAGAGGGGATGTTGTTGGTCCAGCCAGCTCACCTGCCGGGTCTCTGGTTCCTATGCTAGTCCTTTTTGTGTTGGAACCACAGATACTAGTGTTCCCCCAAATATTTACTTACATGATGATATTATTGCTGTCATTATTATTGTTTGTAATATCCAGCAGATTTCCTGGGGGCATGAATGGTATTTATGTCCACATGCCCAACACACAGGGCCCAGCAAATACAAGATGTGCAGTAAGTGTCAAAGCACGGGTGGTGACAGTCATAGGCCAAGCACTTTCCCAAGCATTATGCTACATAAAATAACTTTAAGAGTGCACTGTGGCCAGGCATGGTGGCTCACACCTGTAATCCCAGCACTTTGTGAGGCCAAGGCGGACGGATCACGAGGTCAGGAGATCAAGACCATCCTGGCTAACACAGTGAAACCTCATCTCTACTAAAAATACAAAAAATTAACCAGGTGTGGTGATGGGTGCCTATAGTCCAAGCTACTCAGGAGGCTGGGGCAGGAGAATGGCATGAACCCGGGAGGTGGAACTTGCAGTGAGCTGAGATTGCGCCACTGCACTCTAGCCTGGGCAACAGAGCAAGACTCCACCTCAAAAAAAAAAAAAAAAAAAGAGTGCATCGTATCATACCTTCATCTTGCTCTTGAATCAGTATTTTTTTTTTGTTTTTAAATTTATAACATCAATGAGTAAGGAAATGCCTAAAAATCACAATAGGAATCTCTTAAGACTTTAGCAATAAAGTTCTGATAATTGAAATCCTAAATCTTCTCAGACAGGTGCTTTTATGGTGAAGGCAGATTGCTATTCCTCACATGGTAACTGCATTTAAGTTTTATGCAGTGGCTACATTGGAAAGAGCAGTGGCGTGCTTAATTGCATGGAGAATGTAATCTCACACCTGCACCCATGACCACTTATTTTTCTGTGGTCAGGTTTATGAACAGTGAACACTGGTCCTCAGATGGCCTCACTAAATACATTACTATGTTAGTAAGTGTTCACACAAGCAGTTTTATTTCCCTGCTATTATGGATGATGAAAAGAGTCAAATTCTGTAAAATATCTGAAGAGACTTATGCTGAGCCAAATGTGCCCAAGGTCGTTGGGGCACATCCTAGTTTATACATTTAGGGAGACACGAGACTCGGTCAGATACATGTAAGATGTACATTGGTTCAGTCTGGAAAGGCAGCACGAAGCAGGGAAGGGGAGGCTTCCAGATTACGGGTAGATGGAACAATTTTCTGATTGCCAGTTGGTTGAAAGAGTTAAGTTATTAACTGGAGGACTTGGAGTCGGTAGATAGGAATGTCTGGGTTATGATGACAAGGGGTTGTGGAGACCAAAGTTCATCATGCAGATGAAGCCTCCAGGTAGCAGGCTTCAGAGAGAAGAGATTGAAAATGTTTCTCAGCAGACTTAGTTTGTTCCACTGGTAATTCTGAAAGGGAGGAGGGTGTAATGAGGCACCCCTTGTCCCCCATCATGGCCTGAACCAGTCCCTCAGGTTAGCCTTGGAATGCCCTTGCCCAGAGGAGGGGTCCATTCAGATGGCCAGTGGGCTTAGAATTATATTTTTGATTTACACTATATATTTACAAATGTAACTTAATACTTCTTGAACTGCAATGAAAGGCTATTATTTGCTGTATGTTGTTCAGAATAACATTAAGGTAGTTGTATTTGCTTCCTAAGGCCAGTGACACAGAAGTTCTTTCCCATAAGGAGCTCCTGCCAGTTACTCGGGTTGTTAGGATGGACACACACCGGCCATGTTCTGAAGCGGCTTACATGCTGGGGCCTCTGCTCTGCCAAAGGGACAGTAAGTAGTGGCAAGAGGAACTGTCTTGGCTCACTAATAATACATGTCCATGTTTTATGGGAAAGTTAGCTGCATGGGTTAAAAACAACATTATATGCCCTGGTAATCTGTATTTCATTAGGAATAATTAACTTGAAAAAGCAATGTATCTTATAATTGGGAAAAAAGTGGTAAAAATTATATTACCTCTGGGTTATGTCTCTTCGATACAGTATTTAAATAAGACCACAGCTGTAAAGACTAATGGAATCATCTGAAATATTATATCACTTGTTGGCAAGTGTTTTATCCATACCTACTTTACTGAAAGCTAAGATCGCTAAAATTGGTCAGCGAATGAGAAAATGCAAGGACAGAGCCATCAGGCCTATTGGCTCGTTAGCACCTCTGACAACTCTGCATGTTCACAGGGAAACCTCCATGACCTCAGCTCCCCCAAAACAGGCAAAATGAAACACATGTATTCTAGCTTTGATCTCGTCTCTCGTGAATATGCTCTGTCCAGGACTTCTCTGTCATCACTCCCCAGACGCTGGAAGAAAGCCACAGCCATGCCAGGAGTGGAGCCAGGGAGTGCAGGACACGGCAGCAGCAGCCACATAGGATGGGCTGTCTACACACAAGGTGGGTGTGCCCATGGAGCAGGTCGCAGAGAAACTGTGGGAGATCACAGACTGCAGAGATCATTCTGGCATTTGGCACTCTAAGGAAAGTATAAGGCAGTTCTGTCTGATTATTTAAAATAGAATCGTTTGTGTCCCAAACCCATTTACTTTAGGAGGAGATAGGATTCCATTCTTGAGATGTCTTTGACTGCTTCTGTTGGATCTGGTGGCAGTCCTTTCTGCATTTCTCAGAGGATCATCAGTGCAACACCCTGAGGAAAGCAGTAACATAGAAATTACACAGTTCTACTGGAGATTCACCTTTATCCAAATCGAAGATGAAGCATTTTGGGGGCAATAATAGGATGTTAATTGTTAATCAATTCTGGGTCCTGGGAATATGAGGGAGTTTAATTATCTATATTTTATATTCCTCTTTTAAAATCTTTAAAATTTAAAAGTTTAAAAAAAACGTCGAAAATGCCATGATTATTTTATCTTGAGATATTTAAGGGTTAGAGATACTTGAAAAATATACACAAAGCAAGAGTCTGGCATATACATATTCCTAATATAAGCAAAACTGTGTCATTCCAGAGATTTTGGCATGTTGAATGGGCACCATGGTGATCTACAGTCTTCAAGAACAGTACACTTATACCTTCAGTAAGAACTCCAGCTTCCCTGCAGCTTTATTTCCTGAAGGGGTCATGCTGACCAGAGAGGCGGCCACACTGAGCTTCCGAACCACCGTCCCCGCAGCTTACAGCTCTACAAGAGCTCCTTCCGCGAGGAATACCTTCCAGTTGTTCTCACCTTAAATGGTGAGTGTCCTCAGCGTAACAACAAGAGTGAGGCCAAATATTATGACCATAACAAGGTGGGGCCTTTCAGTGTTCAAACCACAAACAAGAAACTCGACAGCATTCCCTGCAACTGTCATTCTATTAGCATTGGTTTATTTTTCATTATAGCCCTAAATATTTATCAAAAAAGTTAAATTTTGGTGATTAAAATTAAGATACCTTTCTTCCATAAGATTTTGATCATTTTTATGTATTTGATATGAAACTGTGCTTCCTGTTGCCAGAAGGCCTTTCCTTCTCTATATGAATAATCTAAATTGTTAATCAATTTAGTTTAAAATAAGAGCTATTATCTTATCTATGGAAATTATTTCCTCCTCTTAAACAAAGTAGTACTTCACCCATATAAAAGCTGATATCCATATCCGCAGCTGCTCTTCATCCATCGGTAGCTGGGAAGTCGCTCGTGTCATCCCTGCATGAAACAGAGAAGTGGAGCGGGAGTTACCCAGCCTGTGCCCCACCAGGGCTTTTTCAGGCGTGCACATTGGAGAGCAAAACCAGCCTTCAACCTTGCCTCATGGCACATGAGAGGAGAAACTTCTGGAAGCACCTCCACACTCTCTGATAGGATCTGGCATAGGCAACAAGAGAGTTGTAAAGTCAAGAGTCTATCTGTGAAGGAGACCATTGTGTGGGTAAAGGGTTTAGATATTGTAGTAAACCACTTCTCTCTTTTCCATGTTCCTTGATTATAGCAGAAACATTAGGAAAGAAATCCTGGTTGTGCAACGAAAAACAAATTATGCAAATGTCAGTAATACATTAAAATGCATTAAAATAAGTCACAGTGAAAGAAGTTATAAAAAATGTTTTCAAGGTTCATCTGTGTTGTAAGAGGTATCAGAACTTCACTCCTTTTCATGCCTAAATTATATTTTATTGTATGTATATACTACATTTTGTTTTTTGAGACGGAGTATTGCTCTGTTGCTTAGCCTGGAGTGCAGTGGCACAATCTTGGCTCACTGCAAGTTTCACCTCCCGGGTTCACGCCATTCTCCTGCCTCAGCCTCCTGAGTAGCTGGGACTACAGGCGCCCATCACCACGCCCGGCTAATTTTTTTGTATTTTTAGTAGAGACAGGGTTTCACTGTGTTAGCCAGGATGGTCTTGATCTCCTGACTTCATGATCTGGCCATCTTGGCCTCCCAAAGTGCTGGGATTACAGGCATGAGCCACCACGCCCAGCCTATACTACAGTTTTTATTTTTTTATTTATCTGTTTTTAATTATACTTTATGTTCTAGGGTACATGTGCACAATGTGCAGGTTTGTTACATATGTATACATGTGCCATGTTGGTGCGCTGTACCCATTAGCTGTCATTTACATTAGGCATATCTCCTAATGCTATCCCTCCCCCCTCCCCCCAACCCACAACAGTCCCTAGTGTGTGATGTTCCCCTTCCTGTGTCCAAGTGATCTCATTGTTCAATTCCCACCTATGAGCGAGAACATGCAGTGTTTGGTTTTCTATCCTTGTGATAGTTTGCTGAGAATGATGGTTTCCATCTGCATTCATGTCCCTACAAAGGACATGAACTCATCCTTCTTTATGGCTGCATAGCATTCCATCGTGTATATGTGCCACATTTTCTTAATCCAGTCTGTCACTGATGGACATTTGGGTTGGTTCCAAGCCTTTGCTATTGTGAGTAGTGCCGCAATAAAGATACATGTGCATGTGTCTTTATAGCAGCATGATTTATAATCCTTTGGGTATATACCCAGTAATGGGGTGGCTGGGTCAAATGGAATTTCTAGTTCTAGATCCTTGAGGAATTGCCACATTGTCTTCCACAATGGTTGAACTACTTTATACTCCCACCAACAGTGTAAAAGTGTTCCTGTTTCTCCACATCCTCTCCAGCACCTGTTGTTTCCTGACTTTTTAATGATTCTAACTGGTGTGAGATGGATTCTCATAGTGGTTTTGATTTGCATTTCTCTGATGACCAGTGATGATGAGCATTTTTTCATGTGTCTGTCGGCTGTATAAATGTCTTCTTTTGAGAAGTGTCTGTTCATTTCCTTCACCCACTTTTTGATGGGGTTGTTTTTTTCTTGTAAATTTGAGTTCTTTGTAGGTTCTGATATTAGCCCTTTGTCAGATGGGTAGATTGCAAAAATTTTCTCCCATTCTGTAGGTTGCCTGTTCACTCTGACAGTAGTTCCTTTTGCTGTGCAGAAGCTCTTTAGTTTAATTAGATCCCATTTGTCAATTTTGGCTTTTGTTGCCATTGCTTTTGATGTTTTAGACATGAAGTCCTTGCCCATGCCTATGTCCTGAATGGTATTGCCTACGTTTTCTTCTAGGGTTTTTATGGTTTTAGGTCTAACATTAGATTAGCTCTAATCCATCTTGAATTAGTTTTTGTATAAGGAGTAAGGAAGGGATTCAGTTTCAGCTTTCCACTTATGGCTAGTCAGTTTTCCCAGCACCATTTATTAATTAGGGAATCCTTTCCCCATTTCTTGTTTTTGTCAGGTTTGTCGAAGATCAGATGGTTGTAGATGTGTGGTATTATTTCTGAGGGCTCTGTTCTGTTCCATTGGTCTATATCTCTGTTTTCTTACCAGTACCATGCTGTTTTGGTTACTGTAGCCTTGTAGTATAGTTTGAAGCCAGGTAGCGTGATGCCTCCAGCTTTGTTCTTTTGACTTAGGATTGTCTTGGCAATGCGGGCTCTTTTGTGGTTCCATATGAACTTTAAAGTAGTTTTTTCCAATTCCGTGAAGAAAGTCATTGGTAGCTTAATGGGGATGGCTACTACAGTTTTTAAATCCAGTCATCTGCTGGGTTGTTTCCACCTTTTGACAATTGTGACTAAAGCTACTATTAACATTTTTTGTTTGTTTGTTTTAAGACGGAGTCTCGCTCTGTTGCCAGGCTGGAGTGCAGTGGTGCGATCTTGGCTCACTGCAAGCTCCGCCTTCCGGGTTCACGCCAATCTCCTGCTTCAGCCTCCCGAGTAGCTGGGACTACAGGCACCCGCTACCACGACCAGCTAATTTTTTGTATTTTTAGTAGAAACGGGGTTTCAATGTATTAGCCAGGATGGTCTCAATCTCCTGACCTCGTGATCCACTCACCTCAGCCTCCCAAAGTGCTGGGATTACAGGCGTGAGCCACTGCACCCGGCCAACATTTTTTTTTTAAAACAGAAGTTAAATGCTTATAAAAACTGAATGGTAATGCAGTATTGCCTAAGGCTTTGCCATTTAATAATATAAATATCACATTAATGATAACTTAGAGCCTCACTCAGTTTTCATATGCTTAACTTCAGCCTTTTCCTTTATTGAATGAAAATGGAGGGACTTGATTGTTGGTGTTTTTTAAGAGTTGGGTTCTCATTCTGTCATCCAGGCTGGAGTACAGTGGTGCAGTCACAGCTCACTGCCACCTCCAACTCCTGGGCTCAGGGAATCCTCTTGCCTCAGCCTCCTGAGTAGCTGAGACTACAGGGATGCACCAGCATACACAGCTGAAAATGGAGGAACTTGGAAAAAATACTCTTTATTATAACCTATTTGGTCTTGACTTTTGAAATAATTAGAATTGGATTTAAAATTTGATCCTGGAATAGCCATAAATGATCATTATTCCAGGAAAAGTAAATATTGGTGCACCCAAGTAAATGCTTAATAGATTCAAATTTTATTAAATAAACTAAAATGTGCTTTAGAACCTGCATTCACAGTTTAGTACTTCATTGGTTTTACTTTACTTGGCAGCCAAATGTTTATCATAGTGACGATGGGGATATGCTGATGAGAATTATTATAAAATTCTGTTTTGGCCAATTAAAATTGTTACTCCAAGAATGTAAGACTTAGAGCAAAAATTTATAATAAATCCTAAAGAGAAAAGATACACATTCAGCACTGTTCCTCCATAGATCTTGCTAGGACGTAACCTATAGTCAAGGTTTTTTGTTTTGTGTAACAATATTTAGCAATGAGATTGCCAAGTTATCATTGTTATTTGACCATTTAAAATGCCAAACTATCCTCACTGGTTTTCCTTTACCTGGCAGGGAAATGTCTGAGTTATCATAGTGACTACTGGAGACGTGCCAGTGGGAACCCACTCCCACTAGGTACAAAAGAACAAATGCTACAGCAAATTAACCTGAAGGAAAAATCAACATTTGGCTTAAATAGGAATACGTATTTAAAAAGCACCAGAGGCCAGGTGCAATAGCTCATGCCTGTAATCCCAGCACTTTGGGAGGCTGAGGCAGGTGGATCACTTGAGGTCAAGAGTTCAAGACCAGCCTGGCCAAGAAGGTGAAACCTTGTCTCTACTAAAAATACAAAAATTGCCCAGGCATGGTGGTGGGCGTCTGTAATCCTGGCTACTTGGGAGGCTGAGGCAGAAGAATCACTTGGACCTGGGAGGCCAAGTTTGCAGTGAGCCAAGACTGCACCGTTGCACTCCAGCCTGGGCCACAGGAGTGAAACTTCTTCTCAAAAATAAATAAATAGCACCAGAGTATTTAAATTATGCATTGTCACTTGGTTTTGAAGAATAACTGTTATGTGTTGAATCTGTATATATCATACATTTTTCTGCTTGCATTACAAATTTCCTATTGACATAAGAAAAGCTTTGAGGTTTAAAATATGTATCTTTGTGGATTATACCAATTATAGATACTTAAAACATGAATAAACATGTTAATCAGAATACAAAGAGACAGAATTCTCTTTCATCACAGAGAGAATTCAGTGATTCAATGCTGTCAAATCCCTCATGTTGGAGACAATTTTAGGAAAGCAGAAGAAAGAGTGTTTCCCCCATGACATGGATCCGAGACCCTCTATTGCAAATGCAGGAAGCATTGGCTATTTTGAAAGAAGCTCCTTGTCATATTCATAATTTCCCAGGGAGAGACAAGGTAGAAACTGCTCTCGCCTGAGCTCATATGTCATCCTAAATGCTACCTGTGAGACCACCAGGACCTTCCACGAAAAATGCTTCCACCCTGACTCCCTCACTTGGCCATCAGGCATAATGTAGAAACTTGGCATTTTTCTAAAAATTCAGGAAAGGGGAAATCAAAGCAGACATCAGCTTCACAAATGATATATTAATCAGGGCTCAAATATGAAAATTATTATTATTATTGTTAGTCGGAGTCTCGCTCTGTTGCTCAGGCTGGAGTGCAATGAAGTGATCTCGGCTCACTGCAACCTCCCCCTCCCAGGTTCAAGCGAGTCTCCTGCCTCAGCCTCCAGAGTAACTGGGATTACAAACGCCCGCCACCACGCCTGGCTAATTTTTGTATTTTTAGTAGAGATGGGGTTTCACCACGTTGGTCAGGCTGGTTTCAAACTCCTGACCTTGCAATCCACGTGCCTCAGCCTCCCAAAGTGCTGGGATTACAGGCTTGAGTTACTGTGCCCGGCCAGAAATTATGTAATGATAAAACTAGAGTTAAGTTTATGGGAAGAAGAGAAAGAAGTATTCGTTTTCTTTTAGCAAATCAATACATTTAAGGCTGTGGCTCGGGTCCTGCCTTGCCTGTGGGTTGAGGTGAGATGTGTCCAGTGCTCCCCGCTACTCTTGCAAACAGGACCTAAATATTCTGCAGAGAGGCATTCTTTCTGGCTGCTGGTCATTTTCCATAAAAACACACTTTACTATTTAGGCATTACATTCCTAATGCCTTTATTATTTTTTCTTCTTCACAAAGAATTACATTGAAATATAAATAAGTTTTCACCTTCTTTCCAGGTGTGCATTCAGACAGTCCCAGTCATTCAGGAGGCTGAGGTGTGAGGATCTCTTGAGCCTGGGAGTTCAAGGCTGCAGTGAGCCATGATTGCATCACTGCACTCCAGCCTGGGTGACAGAGTGAGACCCTGTCTCAGAAACACAGTTAATTCTTTTCTTTTTGCTCATATATAAATTGTACTTTTAAAAAAATATTTAAATATCATTTAGAGCAAATCCCCTTGTGGCATGTTTGTGATTGCTGCTTTGGTACTTGAGACTCAGCCAGGTCTGTTTTGTTCTAAACAACTGCTGGGATCTGTCTTGTTTTTTCAGCGATTTGTACATTGATTCTCCTGGTCATTTCTTTTACCCCTGTGTATAATAGCACAAACCTGGGAATGTTAGAGAAGACACATAAATGGGCATTTAAAATACGTTCAGAAGCACAGTAACTATTAAAACTAGCATGGCTTTCAAACAGATGATGATTAATAAAATTGTGGCTTTTATTTTCCAAACAGGAAATGCTATGAATTTTAGTGCACCGAAAACCAGTGTGTAACAGAGAGTGCAGCCTGACTGAAAGATTTTTAAATTTTGTTTAAAACAGTGTCATAGTAGAGGAAACCAGAAGGAATTGGAAACACAAATGAAAGAAAGAGACTGCTCCCTGCAACTTTTAGCCATGAGAGTAACAGTATACATTTAGATAGAAAAGGCTATGAGATTCCAAAAAATTCAAAGACACTATTGAGTTTCAGAGAATAGCAGGATATAACCCAGTCCTTGGTGGTCAGCTGAACCATATTATGACTGTTTTTTAACATGGAAGAAAGAAGACTCTGCTCCCTATTTAAAAACCTGCAGTTGAGCTGTGTACTCTCTGTCCCAGCTGATAGTCACAGCCTTGTCCTTACTGTGAGCAGAGTGAGGAACTGATCATCTCACTAGTGTGCAAGCTCTCAGACTTGTTCTTTACTAGAGTAGGTGCAGTCTGGGTGCAGTGATGGTTTCTCTCTGTGCCCAGAGGGCGGCTCCCTCCTTCACTGCCAGGACAGATGTCAGTGTGTGTTCTCCCAGCCAGTAGGACAGATGCAGTCAGTGAACAAAACAAATATAGACACACACACACACCTTCCTCCCTCAGCAACCCCAATGCCTGACAACAGAGATGAATCATGCTACTCAAAGTAGAAAGTTGCCATCAGTAAGTGAAACTGACAAAAGGGTATCTTAAAAGACAATTGCTTCAAATTTAATATCTGTAAAGAAATATGCAGCTGATTATGGAGTTGATGAAGAAGTAAACTGCGTGATATAAAGGGGAACATAATAAACATATTAGTAATAATTAAAGGGAACATAATGAATTTCATTATATACATTTTTTCTTTTTCTATAAGTTAATATATAAAGGACAATAGCATGGAATTAAAGGTGTTGTGTTTTTATTCAAAAATGACTTTTTTTTTTTTAAACAGAGCCTCCCTCTGTTGCCCAGGCTGGAGTGTAGTGGCATGATTTGGCTCACTGCAATCTCCACCTCCTGGGTTCAAAAGATCCTCATGCCTCAGCTTCTTGAGTAGCTGGGATTACAGATGCCGAGCCACCACACCCAGCCAAGAATATTTTCAAAAGCATGTCTCTCAGGCTATAAAAATTGAAGTTGAAATTAAGCAATAAAGTTTATAGCCTGAAGCAATTAGGTCTATGAAAATAATAAGTATTCATTTTATTTCTAAGTAAAAGAGATAAAGGCTAATAAAACATTTCATTTGGGATAACTTTCTTTTAAGATGGCTTTCATTCTGATTTTGCTGTTACTTTCAGATCAGTTAATATGTAGAAGACGACTACAATTTGTGTTGAGATTTAGAGTATAAACCAAGTCTCATTTCATTAACTAATACAGACCAACAGGTTGGTTAAGAAAGGAACCATTAATTTTACAAAGAGAGTTGTCCTAAACTGTGACAAGTTTTCCAGTACTTAATTCTTTTTTTTTTGAGACGGAGTCTCACTCTGTCGCCCAGGCTGGAGTGCAGTGGCCAGATCTCAGCTTACTGCAAGCTCCGCCTCCCGGGTTCACGCCATTCTCCTGCCTCAGCCTCCCAGGTAGCTGGGACTACAGGCACCCGCCACCACGCCCAGCTAATTTTTTGTATACTTAGTAGAGATGGGGTTTCACCATGTTAGCCAGGATGGTCTCGATCTCCTGACCTCGTGATCCGCCCGTCTCGGCCTCCCAAAGTACTAGGATTACAGGCGTGAGCCACCGCACCCGGCCTTAATTATTTTTACAACTCATTAGTTTTTTTAAATGGCAAATAAAATTGAATATATGTTATGTAAAACCTGTTTAGAAATAAGCAGATTGTAGAATGATTACATTGCGCTCAGAAACATATGCATACTTATATTTTGTGGTGAGAACACTTCTTGATTTTCAAGAATACAATACATTAACTGCAGTCACCATGTTGTGCAATGCATCCCTTAAACTTATTCCTCTTGTCTAACTACAATTTTGAATGCTTTCACTGTCTCCCCAAACCCCTGCCTCCCAGCCCCTGGTAACCTCCATTCTACTCTCTGCTTCTGTGAGTTCAATTGTTTGACATTCCACATAAGTCAGATCACGTGGTAGTTGTCTTTTTGTGCCTGACTCATTTCACTTAACACAATGTGCTCCGTTAACCTCCTGTGAATCACAGGTTCTAACCTGCAATTGCTCTAAGTGTTTTCATTCCCTTTTCATGGTTTCTACTAAGAATTCCAGAGCTCAGCTGCAAGGTTTTCACTGCTTTGGAAGTTATTCACTGTTTTTTTTACATCTTATCCACAGACACACAAATAAATTGTCCAGTGCGAGTGCAGCGGCTGTATGCCCTTCCTGTGAAGGCAGGCCGGTTTGACATCTATTAAGCAAATCCATCTCAGCATTCTTAACAGCCTTTATAGTGTTTGATATCAAGCTCAGAAATTCAAAAACTATGCCTCTGTCTCTGTAAGACTACCTGGGTTGGAGACGACTTATGTAATATTCAGCCCAGCGGATAATGTATATAAAAATTACTTCATATGATTTAATGATCTTGAATCGATTTAACTGTTTATATGTCATACTTGGAAAAACCAGGGCAATTATAAAATTTAATAATGACATCTCCATAAAAAGCAATAATTCATATTCTACTTTAAAAATCTTTTCTCTTATGTAGAGGAGTAAGTGGCATCCTAGTGGCACCAGAAGGATGTACTGGTGAGCTTGTGTAGCGGTCCCTAAGTTAACGCATGTTGCTTTATTTGACTGACACTGATGTTCCCATCTTAGCTTCCAGCAGTTACGTGGGCAGAAAACCCAAAGTTAGTAACTTTGAACAGTTCCATCAATGTTAGTAACTCAAGGGCCAAAGTGATGGATTAAACAGCCAGTCGAGTCAATCTCTGGTTCACCCTCACGATGACAGAATGCTTTTAGGTAGTGAGGCAGTGCTTAGTCTCAAGGTAGCCTCCCTTCCCCTCATGCATTACCTGGTGTTTGTGGGCAACAGTGTGGATCCTCTATACGTGCCTGGGGTTTTGGGTGTGGAAAGGGTGGGCTGGGGTATACCCTGGGGCCTCTGCAAGTGCCTGACCCATAGATGCTCCCTGGGGCCTGGTAACTGGGTGCCCTGGTGGCTTACAGTGTGGAAGTTGGAAACTTCACCATCATCTGTGGCCTGAGCTTGGCCTCAGGGAATATTCCTGGGTGGTGTCAGCTATACATCCTCCTTACTCCATGTCACAGGGGAGCAGCAACTCTCTGAGATGGTGGCATGGGTGGTGAAAGAATTTACCAAGACAGTTGTAGGTAAAGAAAGGCAAATTTATTGGACACCACAGAGCTTATGTGTTTGTGGTGATGTGGGTGTGAACATACAATTATGTATAGTGCATAATGCTTGATGAAAATAATAAATTATGTTAATGTTTTATGTATTTAATATCGTATACTTTTAAATTGTTATTTTAGAGTATATGTTTACTACTCTTTTTTTAAGTTAACTGTGAAGCAGCCTCGGGCAGGTCCTTCAGGAGGTTTCCAGAAGAAGGCATTATTATCAAGGAGATGACAGCTCCATGCCTGTTACTGCCCCTGAAGACCTTCCAGTGGGACAAGATGTGGAGGTAGAAGACAGTGATATTGATGCTCCTGACCTGCTTAGGCTTAGGCAAATGTGTGTGTTTGTGTCTTGGTTTTTAAAAAAAGGTTTTAAAAGTAAAATCAATAAATAATAGAAAAAAGCTCATAGAATAAGGTTAAAAAGAAAGAAAATATTTTTGTATAACTATATAATTTGTGTGGTTTTTTGTTTATTTGTTTGAGACAGGGTCTCACTCTGTCACCCAGACTGGAGGGCAGTGGCACAATCACGGCTCACTGTAGCCTCGACCTCCTGGGCTCCAGAGATCCTCCCACCTCAGGAGGACATCAGTCCTCCAGACAGACATCAGGCCCCGGTGGACACCAGGCCCCAAGTGGGACACAAGCCCAAGGCGGACATCAGGCCTGAGGAGGACATCCGGCCCCTGGTGAACATTAGGTGCAGGTGTCCAAGCAGGCCCTGAGTGGACATAACAGTGTCTAGGTAAGGAGTTGACCTTGGAGGAGGGTGAGCAGTCAGTAGCCCAGTGGAGTCCTGAGTAGGTCTTACGGAAGGAAGGGGCTGTGGAGACGGAAACTTAAAGAAGCAGACTCACTTACTTGATGACAGACCCGAACAGAACTTAGAACTCTAGTAACCAGGTGCCCATATCCTAGAGTCAGCCCTGTGGCCAGCTTACTTGGTGAGAGACGCTCAAAAGAGAGAGGTGTTCTCGTGTTGCATCCCCACTGCCCAAGGCTGCTCCTTCAGGAATGGCAGAAGAGCCTTTTCCGACGATGCTGACGAAGGCTTCTCCCTCACCCCAGACGCCTGTGGCCCTTTGTAAAAACGCGCACCCAGGTACCACAGGGCAGCCTCACCTCACCGGAGATCCCATCGGGCCTGCATCTGCACGTTGTCCTTGTCCAAGAGGAGATTCGGGAGCCTATACGGGCACAGGCACATGGTGAGGTGGCCTGCAGTCTGGAAGGCTTTGTGGGGTTGGTGCTTTTCAGCTGGAATTCTTTAAATTCAGTGAGGTTGTTTCTGTGTTTGGAAATTCCAGAGGAAAGTGATTGACGTTGGTGATCTTTCTCCTTTTTCAGCTCCTGCCGCACGTGCAGAGAGAGGGGAACTTCCAGCGCCCCTCTGTGGAGCCAGAACCCACAGCATGGGAGGGGCCCCTCCAGAGGCCATGCTGCAGCTAGAGCAGCAGCTCCAGAGCCCTCCGGGCCCTGCACCGGTACAGCCAAGGACCAGCCCAGTGAGGAGCTGCCCGACCTCAGGCCACCTGCCGTAGTCACTGGCCTCAGCCCTGGAGCTGAGAACATGGCTGGAGATAGAGGTGTTTGAGGACTGGAATTCCTTTAAATTCAGTGAGGTGGTTTCCATGTTTGGAAATTCCAATGGAAAGTGACTGACATGGGTGACCGTTTCCCCTTTTTCAGCTCCTGCGCCATGTGCAGAGAGAGACGAACTTCCAGCGCCCGCTGTGGAGCCAGAGCCCACGGCACGGGGAGGGCCCCTCTAGAGACAGCGCTGCAGCTAGAGGCGGCAGCTCCAGAGCCCTCCGGGCTGTGCACCGGTACAGCCAAGGACCAGCCCAGTGAGGAGCTGCCCGACCTCAGGCCACCTGCCGTAGCCACTGGCCTCAGCCCTGGAGCTGACAGCGTGGCTGGAGATAGAGAGCGGGTGGCCAGCACCACCCTAGACAGCAGCTCCCACACCGCCCCTAGTCCCGGGCATGGTGGGAGCCATGGAGTCAGAGACCAGGGTATGCAGCCTCAGCTCATCTACCTCACTGGAAAGAGGCTTATTTTATTCACCAGAGCCACATCCCAGGTGCAGCAGGACCTTTGCATTCTGCCAGTGCTGGGAGTATCTATCTGCGCACAGGAGGTGCTTGAGAGCAGGAACAGAAGCCTGCAGGAAAGGGTTCCAGCAGCTCCTCCTGCTCCCAGAGTCAGCCTTGTCTTCTATGAGAGCAGGAAAAGAAGCTTGTGAGAAAGGGTTCCAGCAGCTCCTCCTGCTCCCAGAGGCGGCCTCCTGCTCCGGGCGTGGAGGTCTCTCTGCTACTGGGCTTCTGGGCTGTTTGCTCCTGATGTGCTCCCCAGGATGGGCTTAATGGGCGGGCAGGGGGTGCGAGGACCAGGGGGCGGCTTCAAAGGGTACAGCAACCAAAGCTTCCAAACTCAGCACTTGTGCTTCGGTCTCTCCATGCTGCCACCTGCCCTAGGATTTATTCATAGTGTTAAATTACCAGTTTATGCAAATGATGTTTCATTAAAGCTCAACTTTTTGAAAGTTCACGCCTTTTTTAGCTCCCTAATGTTAGACGGTGTTTTTGAGGCGATCCTGAATATCTCTGATAGTTGTGTCTTTTTGTTGTGGTTGTTTGTGTGATTGAGTTACCACCAAATCAACTGTTATTGGAAACCTTTCAGGTATGGCTTTTAGAAGACCTTGACCTACTCTTGCCTGTTTTGATTCTCCAGTGTATTGTGGAAAGTGGGATCATGTAGTTTCATGTCTCCAGCAGATAAGTCACCTTTTGCCATCAAGGTTTTGGAATCAGAGTTTCCAAAAATTATGTGTGCAAGTTGACAGGCTGGCACTTTAGCTAATCTGGGTGTCAAAACAGAATGCCATAGACTAGGAAGCATAGAAAATTGATTTCTCACAGTTCTGGAGATGGTAAAATCCAAGGTCAGATGTTCAGCAGATTCTGTGTCCGCAGAGGGCTGGCTTCCTGGTTCATAGACAGCCATCTTTTTCCTGTGTCCTTACATGACAGAAGGGATGAGGGAGCTCTCTGCAGTCCCTTTGATAGGGGCACCAATTCCATTCACGAGGTCCCTGCCTTCATGAACTTATTCACCTGCCAAGGCCCCTCCTCCAAATACCATCTCATAGAATTAGAATTTGACACATGAATTTGAGGAGGACAGTAACATTTGGTTTATAGCATCATGTCACTCCAAGCCATATGCACTCACAGGAAATCTATAATCTTCTATTAAGTATTTCCTGGTCCTTTCTGGGTTTAGAGATTTTTTTTTTTTTTTTGGCTTTAAGAAAAATGATCTTTTATTTGATCCAGGGTTTTTTCACAGAAAAGCACTGTGAGTTCACACACTTGCTAAAAAGATACAGAAATGAGAGTGGCTTTTCTCTCTTTTTTTTTTTTTTTTTGAGACGGAGTTTTGCTCTTGTTGCCTAGGCTGGAGTGCAGTGGCACGATCTCAGTTCACTGCAACCTCCACCTACTGGGTTCAAGCAATTCTCCTGCCTCAGCCTCCTGAGTAGCTGGGACAACAGGTGCGCACCACCATGCCTGGCTAATTTTTTTTATTTTTAGGAGAGATGGGGTTTCACCATGTTGGTCAGGCTGGTCTCGAACTCCTGACCTCCTGATCTGCCCGCCTCAGCCTCCCAAAGTGCTGGGATTACAGGCGTGAGCCACCGCGCCCAGCCAGGTTCATGTTCTTAAGCGGCACACTATTTGCTATGGCAGCAAGACCAAAAGGCTTAAGTACCAAAAATGTACATTAACTACAAACAGCTTCACGTAAACAAAACAATGTGACCATCTATATGTGACAGTAACTCATATGCCCAAAATATTTTTAACTGAGATTGAAATCAATTTCTGCATAACAAATGTTATCACTGTATTGAGATGATAACATTATTTGTATATAAATACTATAAATAATAACGTATTTAAGTTATTCAACAAATAATTCTTTGGAATCTACAAAATGCTGGTTTCTGTTATAGACCCTGAATGTAGAATTGATAGAAAATATAGTATTTGTTCTTAGAGAGTGGTAGACTAAAAAAAACAAAATGTATATTGGGTAGAGGTTGTGTGCTGAAAACAGGCAGAGACTGAGTTGCTAACACAAAAATCATGAAACCCAGTGTGATTATTTTTAATAATCGTTGATATTTTAATACAGGTCTCTTGTTTTTTCTCATGGAAACATATGACAATATGGAATTTCTGGGTGTTTGGTATCTGAACGTTTAAGTGTAACAAGTATGACCAGTTTTCCGAAGAAATTTTACCAGTTTACTTGTCCATCAGTGACTCATATTACATGAAACCACGTCCTCTCCAACAACCTCTAGTATCAGTCTTCGTAAAGTTTTTCAATTAAATGGGCGTAGGTTTTGCAGATGATTATTATATTATTAAAGGATAGTAGAATACTTAGCTTAAAAAAAAGCAGGGCATGCCGAGGCACATGTTTAGCATGTGTCCTGATCCCAGAATTAAAACTAATCCAATTTGTGCCTCTGCTGTTCAATAAAAAATTTCCTTAGAAATCCAGAGGTCAGGCTGGGCACGGTGGCTCACGCCTGTAGTCCCAGCACTTTGGGAGGCTAAGGTGGGTGGATCACGAGGTCAGGAGTTCAAGAACAGCCTGGCCAATGTGGTGAAACTCCGTCTCTACAAAAAATACAAAACTTAGCTAGATAGCTAGGCATGGTGTTACATACCTGTAGTCCCAGCTGCTCGGGAGGCTGAGGCAGGAGAATCGCTTGAACCCAGGAGATGGAGGTTGCAGTGAGCCAAGATCAAGCCACTGCACTCCAGCCTGCATGATAGAGCAAGACTCCATCTTAAAAAAAAAAAAGAATCCAGAGGTCAGACATTCCTTTGAGCAAGGACTCCAATATGGTTTCTTGCCTACTCACTCCAACAAAATTGCTCTTCTCAAAGCACAAACAATAGTCATATTGTTAAATTATGAATTGCAGCATAATTCCTCAGCCTTTGTCTTAATTTATGTATCAGCAGCATTTGACACAGGTGATCTCTCCCTCCTTTTTGCAAAACTTTCTTTGACAGAATTCCAGAACACTTAACCCACTTTCCCCCAACATTTTTTATAATTACCCCTGGTCCTTTTTTCTGTTTTTTTCTCACCTTTACTACTTTTTAAATGTTAGAGAACTTGGCTCAGGACCTGGACTTACCTTTCTTTGCTTTGCTTTTTTACTAATTTTTGTGTCATTAATTTCCGGATATTTCATATTACACGTCAACACTGAACTACACCCAACACCGCCTGACTTCTTCACTTGGGTGTCAGTCAGGAATCTCAAATGAAGGCCCACATGGAGCCACCGATACTCCCTAAACTTGCTCTTCCCCTTTCTGTTTAATGACAACTCCCATTTTATAGTTTCTCAGCTCAATATTCTTGGTGTCCCCTTTTAGTTCTCTCTGTATCTGTCTGGTTCTCATTCATTCTCTCTCTCTCTCTCTCTGTCTCTATCTCTCCTTCACACACACACGCACACACGCACACACACACACACACACATATTTTCAGATCTGTTGTGTATGGAAAACCTGCCAGTTTTACCTTTAAAGTGCAGTAATTCCAAATGGTGTTTTCAAATTCACCTTCCCACCCTCACCACTTGGTAACTACGGTACCTCCCTCCCACGGTCAGGGCTCTACTGCAGGGATTTCTTGGGGAACTAATGAGAACTATTACACATTCTTATTTCAGGGACCCTCAAAATTATAGGCCAGCCATATTCTATACGAATTCAAGCTTTCATCATTGCCCTTTTCTTCAATCCAGTCTCTACACAGCAACCACAGTATGCAATGTTTAGAATTCCAAGCCGTATCATAACACTCCTTTTTTTTTTTTTTTTTTTTTTTTTTTTAGACAGAGTTTGGTTCTTGTTACCCAGGCTGGAGTGCAGTGGCACAATCTCAGCTCACCGCAACCTCCGCATCCCGGGTTCAAGCAATTCTCCTGCCTCAGCCTCCCGAGTAGCTGGATCACAGGCGTGCATCACCACACCCAACTAATTTTTTGTATTCTTAGTAGAGACAGGGTTTCTCTATGTTGGTCAGATGGGTCTCGAACTCCCAACCTCAGGTGATCCACCCGCCTTGGCCTCCCAAAAGTGCTGGGATTACAGGCGTAAGCCACACACACCCGGCCAACACTCCTGTTTCAAAGGACCTGCTCCATTACTTCTTTTCTCCCTCATTAGAATTTAAGCCTAACAAACCTGGGTAGCTTCCATACTTTTCCACTGATCTATCTCCATGAGCTGGAGATCACTTAGTGTAAAGTAAATAATCAGTAAATATTTCCAAATAACAGAATCAATTATTAATCGTTTTCTTTCTTTGAGTATACATCTGGACTTTTAAAAATCAAGAAAATAGATTGGTCAAGAGAATTTCCTGTGTTTTGATTTTCTTATCCATTGATTAGATTAGCTGTGTTAGTATAGATTTCAGTGTGGGAAGCTGTAAGCCTTTCCTAAATTTTAAAATGAAAGGCATGGAATTTGAATATCCATTCCTTTTATTTAAGGAATTAAAAAAGGCAAGCTTATCTTTTTTTTTTTTTTTTTTTTTTTTTTTTTTTTGAGACGGAGTCTCGCTCTGCCGCCCAGGCTGGAGTGCAGTGGCCGGATCTCAGCTCACTGCAAGCTCCGCCTCCCGGGTTCACGCCATTCTCCTGCCTCAGCCTCCCGAGTAGTTGGGACTACAGGCGCCCGCCACCGCGCCCGGCTAGTTTTTTGTATTTTTTAGTAGAGACGGGGTTTCACCGTGTTAGCCAGGATGGTCTCGATCTCCTGACCTCGTGATCCGCCCGTCTCGGCCTCCCAAAGTGCTGGGATTACAGGCTTGAGCCACCGCGCCCGGCCAAAGCTTATCTTTTAAAATATATTTTATATATGTAAACAATCTAAATGTATTTTTCTCCTTATCCCTGAATACTTTTTCAAGTTATTCATCTCCTCGTTTTAAAAAATCTACCTCGATAACATTTTAAAATATATATGCAACTTCATTAAGAATATCTTTGTGTTCCACTGAATAGCTTGTCAAATAATACATTAGCAGTACAATTTCCTCATAATTCTTAGATTTGTTTGATTAAATTTATAGATTTCCTGCTCTCAGCTCATAAATTCATTCAAGTATAATACATCCTACTTGATCTTTGTGGAGTTTTCATAGCATACATTTAGTATTGAAATTGGTTTTTGATATTCGAATCAACTTTATAATTGTATTGTTGGTTAGATTGGTTGGTAGAATCCTTTTTTGTTTTGGTTTTGTTGTTTATTCATCACAGAGTGGCTTTGCTACTGTAAAGCTTGAAACATTTTCTTTTTTGTTTTCCTTCCTTTCTTCGTTTTTTCTTCCTTCTTTCCTTTCTTTCCTTCTTTCTCTTTCCCTCTTCCACTCCCTCCCTTCCTTTCTTCCTTCCTTCCCTCCTTCCTTCCTTCCTTTTTCTTTCTTTCTCTCTCTCTCTT